CTCCCCTTTCTCTCTCTCTCTCTGTTTCTTTCTTCTTTTCTTTCCTCTTTTCTTTCTTCCTTCCTTCCCCCGTTGTCGCCATCATTGAGAAAACACTTCTCACCAAACAAAATGTATATTTATGACTTCTTTCCAGAAATTTGAGAAATTTCTTTTTCTCGTCTTTCGGTGTCTTTCGTTTTTGTCTTTCTCGTTCGTTTCTATTTCCAGCACCAAAAACAAACATCCTCCTGAAACGAAAACTTTAAAGACAAAAAACAAATTTTCCATAAATTCTAACGGAAAAAATTATCGCTTTATCGCACACACGCACTCGCGAACACGTGTACACACACACGCACACACACACACACACTCTCTCTCTCTCACAAACAGACAGACACACTCTCTCTCTCACACACACACACACACACACTCTCACACACTTTCTCTCTCACACACATACACAGAGTTTATTTGTCCATTATTCTTGTCACTATCACTGGACATTACCTTTCTCGTTTGGTACAATTTGTTCACATATGTCTCTTTCATTGACAATGGCATTTTAATGACCGCCTCAGGGGTCGTCAGGCTTATCGAAATATGTCTTTATTTTCTCTGTCCACCGATCATCCCAAAACACAAACGCACTTACTCTCACACGCACAAACACACACACACACACACACACACACACACACACACACAACAAACACGAAGAAACAAATACACACGCAAGAATACACGCACACAAGCAAACACAAACAAAACTCACAACACACACACACACACACACACACACACACACACACACACACATATATATATATATATATATATATAAATATAGTTTGATTGATTTGAGTTTGTGGCCTTGAGTTTTCCTGACGATCGCAAGGGTGTGAAACTCAGGGTCACAAACATATCAGTCCAACTAAATATCTTAGCTCTATCACTGATATTGAGCGCTTTCCAATTAACACAGCGCATATATAATAAATAAATAATATATAAATAATATATAAATATACACATAAATTACCCCCCCCACACACACACATATATATATATATATATATATAATAAATTAATTGATTTAAAATGTTTTTTCGCTACACAGTTTTAACCATGTTTCAAAATGGACCTTAAAAGCTTCAATTTAATTTTGTAATTAAATTAAAACATTAGTTCCATTTCATACTCAAGCGAAATTTGGAGTAAGTTATTTTAAAAATTACTGGGTTTTAAAAGCACAGCAAAAAATCATAATTCACGTTTCCAAGGATACAGAGAAATCCGTTCATCTTGACAAGGGGTGTTTGCGGGTTCATTATCGCTGTATTTTGATGTATCAGTTATTAGTTACGTTTTGGTAGGGGTAGGGATGTATTTTTCAATGAATTCTGACATCCATTAAATGCATGCCGTCTAGATTTTTTTAAAAAAATTATTGTTAACAGCAAAAATTCTTACGGCACTTTTTCTATTTGCATACTTTTTCGTGGGTGTTTAGGTTAGAATATGTTTTATTTAATTACGGTTTTAATAATATATATATATATATATATATATATATATATATATATATATATATATATATATATTTATATTATATTTAGAATACGTTTTATTTTTATCTATATACATATATATATATATATATATATATATATATATATATATATATATATATATATATATATATATATATATATATATATATATATATATATATAAATAAAAAGAAATAACATCCCTACCCACTACCAAAACGTAGCAATAACTGATACATAAAATATAGACATATTGAACACCAGACATCCCCATATGTCTAGTAAATTGGATTTATCTGTAACCTTGGAAACGTGAATTATGATTTTAGCTGTGTCTTTAAAACCCAGTAATTTTAAAAGTTACTCCAAAATTCGCTTGAGGATGAAATGGAACTAATGTCTTTAATTTAATTACAAAATTAAATTCAGGGCTTTTAACTTCTATTTTTGAAACATGGTTACAACTGTGTGTGAAAAAAAACATTTTTAAATCAATTAATTTATAATATATATATATATATATATATATATATATATATAATTTAAAATAACTAGTTAATAAAGGTTAGGAGGAAAACACAATAGACTTTGCTACCCATAATGCAAAATAGGTGAGCTTTTATATATATATATATATATATCTATATATATATATATATAGTCGTGATCAAAAATACTTGGCCTGCATTCACACATAAAACAGACTGATAACTGTGGAGCGCGCAGATGCCGCCTAAATATGGCAACAGTACGTCATTCCTCATATAATTTCACCCTCAGTAACTGACTTGTGTCTTAGCGGCTTTATTTTCTTGCTTAGGGTGAAATGATTTAAAAAATGACGATAGACGACAGGTGGCTTTTGACTTCCCCCCGAAATCTGTCTGATATTTGAAAGTCGAAATGATAAATCTTTTAGCGCGCGTTTTATTAACATCCTTTTGTCTCGTTTCTTTGATCCGGACAGCTGCGATCTTTAATCTAATCTGCCTCTCTGTCTGCTTCCGTGTGAAAGCTCAGGTGTGTGTTTATATGTAAATGTGTCTGTGTGTCAATATCTGGAGAACCAGAAGAAGAAGAAGAAGGAGAAGAAGAAGGAGCAGGAAAAAAAGAAGACGGAATGGGCGGAAGAGGACGAGGACAAGAAGAAGAGAAGAAGAAGAAGAAAGAGGCGGAGCAGGAAGAAGAAGAAGAAGAAGAAGAAGAAGAAGAAGAAGAAGAAGAAGAAGAAGAAGAAGAAGAAAGAGGAGGAGCAGGAGCAGAAGAATAAGAAGAAAAAGAAGAAGACGGGGGAAGGGGCGGGGGAGGACGAGGCAAGAAGAAGAAGGAGAAGAAAGAGGCGGAGTAGGACGAGGACAAGAAGAAGAAGAAGAAGAAGAAGAAGAAGAAGAAGAAGAAGAAGAAGAACATGGTGTCGGGTCTTTTTTCAGATTCAAATTAAAATAAACTTAAAACGGAATAAAATAAAATAAACTATACTTCTTCATATATATATATATATATATATATATATATATATAGTCGACTCTCCCGTCGAATTCGACGTATGAGGGTCAAGCAGATCAGTTTCCAGGAAACCGACAGCCCGAAACCGGCACATGAGATTTGATTATGATGGTGTAGGACCATCCACACTTTTTGAAGGGACGAATACAAAGACCTGGTTCCCAAACGACCCTCCGCAGGTTTTGAATTCAGAGTTGTCCTCGCCTAGACCAGTTGCCATCCAAGGCTATGAAAGGCACGGTGGAGTAATGGATAGCGGCTTGGATTGAGGAATCGCAGAGCCGAGTTCCATTTTCAGTCGAATCCTTTACATTCACTTATGTACTAATACCCTTCGGAATGGTATGAATTCTTCTCCCTCCAGCTATTGGTAAAATAGCAGGACAGACTGGGGTTTATATATATATATATATATATGTATTGGCAGCATATCGTTATATGTGTTGTTAAAACTACGGAACTTTTCCGTTTAATAATCTTTTATCTGTTTTTTCTTGCTTTCTCGCAAGTTTTATAATATTTAATCTAATTTGTTGAAATAAGACTCTCGTACATAGTGTTATGCTGAGCACTTTCGGTTATCGTCAACCGCCTTCACGGCTCTATGTCTTGATTTCAAATATGTTGCTTATTATTTTAGTTTTATAGATAATATTTTGGTTATTTAGACAATGTGGTTGGATTAGGTCATAATTACTAAACATATTTACTAACTAATCCTCGAAATAATAGACACCACCCCCCTCCTTATTAATAATTCATAGGCAATATTAATTTGCCGGAGTCTTGAATTTATTGCTGTGTATACGCGAAATCGTTTTTCAACCTGATTTGGCTGTATTACTCAGTGTATGAGCGCGCGCGTCTTAGTGTGTGTGTGTTTGTGTGTGTGTGTGTGGGAGAGAGAGCAAGTGTGTGCATTTAAATAACTGTTCATATTTAATACATGTTCCGTTGAAGTGACTTGCTTAAATTTTTATTTAATCCGGTATGGCTGACAAAGTGGCCGTTGGTTTGAAAAACGACCTCCAATCTGTGGTTGACTGGGGCAGGAATTGGCTTGTAAACTTTAATCCCGCTAAAACGAAACTGCTACCATTTATCCACCACTAGCCGCATGGCCCAGCGTTGCCCGTGCTTGATTCGAAAAATCGTACGACACATACAGCAATCGCTATCACTTGACTTAAAATATTTTTGCCCTTTCTTGCTTTTAAAGGAGTGCCCTTTGCTGTGCTGATGTTGCTACATGCCTTAATTCTTGCCTATCTCACACTGCGAATTTTTTCTAATCTCTATACTAAACATTAAATCTGTTACGAAAAAAGAACTAAACAAAATGAACACAAAACGATCAGCTTTAAAAAATGTCTCGTAATTGGAAAAACCGAATGAAAAAAGAATGTTAACAACAAATACTTTATCACACCAAACCCAGTTTTGCGGAATCAGAATCAACGTTGAGTTTAAGCAAGCGAATGAGCTAATTGGAGTAAAGTGCCATGCAGATTTAAATTTTTCCCACTTGTGACGAATGCAGCTATCGATTTTTTTTTGCCTGCTAGCATGCTTGTTAACATTCGTGTCAGTCAGCTGTTGGCTCTCACGCTTGCCAATAAAATCTTCCTGCTTATTCGTGGCATCCAGCTATAGGCTCTCACTCTGGACAGTAGAAAATGGCCGCAAACTACATGAAAACTTCCGTAGAAGTATGAAAAAAAATCGATTATTTCCACTATCGATGGAAGTTGGGAAATGCAAAGTCGGTCTTGGCCTTCCCACTAACTTGTACATGTGCATGTAAATTTTGGTGCAAATCCGTCGAAAACTGCGGCTGTGCATTCGTTACACACACACACACAAACACGAAGAAACAAATACACACACAAGAAAACACGCACACAAGCAAACACACACAAGCAAACACACAAACAAAACTCACACACACACACACACACA